AGCTGTAGCAGCTGTAAATCAACATACTGCTGGAACTCAGCTCTCTCTTTCTCTCTCTGTCTCTCTCTCTCCGCATTAATATACGTTTCCATTGCAGTTTACATCTCTTTCCCTTTCACGCACTCCATTTTCCGTCTTTTTTCCCCCCCGTTCCGTCCCACCCACCCCTTCCTTTGCCATTTTCTGAGGGAGATAGTGAGAGGGCTTCAAAGCTTATCTCATCTTACTCCATAGAATCAGATTTCGCTCAATCCCACTGTTTCTTCACTCTCGGCCTCTCCTCATCACCCACTTTTTGCTTTTTCTGAATTCTGAGTACAATTACAGAAAACCCATTTTCGGTTTGTGTTTGACGCTGTGAAGATCTAGTGTGTTGACTCTGTTTCAGCGTAATCTTCTTGATTCAGTGGAAATGCGGCTCCTTTATTTGCGGGTGTTTTGTTGGTGATCTTGGGTCTGTGATCATGATATATCTCAAGATTTTAGGGTTTTTTCGGTGGTTTTAGGGGCTGATTTTTGGCGGCATTTATGGGGAGGAAGATTTTGGGTGGATGCATGGTTCGAGAAAGGAAATGGGATTCATGCCATTATTGAGTATCTCCAGATTTAGCTGGGATTTTGTGGGTTTCGACTGAAATTTCAATCCGCAGCGGCGGCGGTGGCGTAGGCAAGGGAAAATCAGGTACTTGGTCTTTCCTGTTTGGCATTGGGTACTGAATCTGGGTGATTCTGCTTCTGGGTCCAAAGCTGGAAACGGTGTTAATTGCTGGATTTTCTGCTTTCTTCTTGCTATTTAATCGAGTGTTTTAAATTCTTTGATTTTGGTGGGTTATGGTGGAAAATGCTAAACAAGAATCAAATGGTTCAATTTCTTTTGGTAAATGAAGTGAAAATGCTGCAAAGATTCTTCATTCTTTTCTGTAATTGAGAGCTTCTTTAACAAGGCTTCTAAAGGGGAAAAAGTAATCTTGGACCATAAAGGGTTGCAACCGTTGAAACCTTCAAAGCTGCTTTTGAATACACAAGAATATATTTCATTTATACAGTCTCCGTTGTCACATTTGTGGGCAAATAGGCGTGACATCAAGGAAGGATTTGCACAGCTTGGAGAAGTGATTTATAAGCTTCTTTGAGGGAATTCACTACTGTCTTTCTGGGTATTTTACTGAGCGTTTTGGTAGTTATCTGATTGGCATTGTGCTGAAATTTGACATCTTGAAGCATCGATGGGGCTTCTTGGAAGAAGTCTCACGATGCTTGTTCTGGGGATGATGTTCTTCTGGTTAACGGGTCTCAGGGCTCAATCTACAAATGGCTCTTCAGGAAGCTCTGCCCGAGCCCTTGATGCTCTTCTTCAAGACTATGCTTACAGGGCCCTCTCTCGTCCAAAGACTGGAACATCCTATGGTGGGGTTGTTCCTTCTAATTTGACTGGTATTAATATTACAGCAATGAGGCTCAGGAGTGGGAGCTTGTGGAGACACGGTGTGAACATGTACAATGAGTTTGTGATTCCCACTGGAGTTACTGAGAAACCTTATGTGGAAAGGCTTGTTTTGGTCTACCAGAACTTGGGTAATTGGTCTATGCAGTATTATCCATTAACTGGTTATACTTATCTGGCTCCAGTGCTCGGGCTTCTTGCTTATAATGCTTCAAATTTAAAGGCTACAAATTTACCAGAATTGGATATTAGGGCGTCTCGTGATCCCATATCAATCAGATTCTCTGATGTGAAATCAGCCCCAGATGGATCAGTTCCAAAATGTGTTTGGTTTGATCTCCAGGGCCTCGCAAACTTCAGCAATGTGGCATCAGGCAATGTGTGTACAACGATCCAACAAGGACATTTTTCTATAGTTGTAGAGTCTGTTGCCCCTGTTCCACCACCGGTGTCTCCTGTGGTGCCCCCACCTCCACCCATCTCGCCTCCACCAAGCCGTGGAGGAAGAAAGACTAGTACAAAAGTTGGGATAATTGTCGGGTCTGTTCTGGGTGGACTACTTTTGCTGGCACTGTTAGCAATCCTGGTAGTGTGGGCACAGAAATACAAGGAGAAGAGGAAAATGCATGAGATGGAGAAAGCTGCAGACGTGGGAGAAGCTCTGCAGATGACCTCAGTTGGGGAAACAAAAGCACCATCAGCAACAGGGACTAGAACACAACCAATGCTCGAGAACGAATATGTTCCCTGATTCCCACACCCCAAATTTGTACAAGCTTCTCTCCTCCACATCTCACAGGAAATCTTTTTCAAGTTCAAATTCATGTATTCAGAAAATTCTTCTACTCACACCTGTTTTTGGTGGTGTCTCCTTCCCCATCTTTGTTTGGTCTTGGTAGGCTCCTGGTTGTAGTGTGGGTAATATAGGATTTTTGTGTAAATCTGTTATCACTCACGAAATCCGTTTTTCATAGTTTTATGATTCATAGTTGTGTGCATCTAGCCAAAATGATTCGATATTGTGATGAATTTAGTTCAATTGACAATGAATAAAACTCTTTCTTCTATGCCTTCTTGTTTCTGGTTTGTTTTTCTCCATTCCAAGGAATCAAAGATGAAAATTGTTGTGGTTTTATTTTTAACAGAGATGATGCATACTAGAGCTTCTTTTCCAGGTTTCCGTATCTGGTGCGCTAACAGAATTTATTCAAATCAAGCTAGTCTTGGCAGTCTGTCCTTGTCCTTATCTGCATCATGTGAAAATTTTTCTGAAAGTAGCTTTTTAATTTTGGTAAGATCGAGGACATGAGGACGAAGGTTGATTTAAGCTAGAAAGGTTTCGTCTTTCAATTATTGGATAGTAGAGATTCTAAACAACAATAAAGAAGTCGAAAGAGTGGAAGGATGTCTCAAGGTTAGAGGTACGTAGCTGTAACCTTAAGATGGTGAGGACAGATTTGAAAAATAAACAGGTTATTCTTACCGTATAGCACTAGCTGCATTAGTAAGGGTCTCAACAACCCATATGACAATTCTTTTTCTTTTTCTTTTTAAAAAAAATAAATAAATTACACAATAAAAAATATATTTTCATATCTTTTAATTCACTTTGTCCATATGTTATACAATTCAAAATTTTCACATATTTTATTTTCACTCAAAAGAAATTAAATTGAACTTCTGTTTAGGCTGTTGACCCCAAATATTCTAATGTTAAAAAGAAGAAATATATAAGACAAAGTTGGGGTATTTATTGAGTGCTATTAAATTAGCCCCAAGCAAGCATAATTGTAAGAGAAGGGAGACATAGACGGGTAGTTGGCTACCACACGGTATAATACATAGTGCAGAATCCATGAAGCAGCAGTTGTTAGACTCGTGGCCTCGACTTGAATCGAATTGAAAGGGACTTTTATGGGTGTCTACCATAAGGGACCCATGTTAAGCTTTAGCCTTTACCTGTCTTCTTTTTAATTCGATTAAAAATTAATTGAATTTATTAAGAGTGATGATATAAGGATAATTTTTTTGTTAATTCCACCATGCAATCCACTGGTTGAGTGGCGCTCTTCAAGAAGGAGGTGGTGGCATTCACCATCGTTTGGAGATCGAATCTCCAGTTTTTAACAATCAACTAACCTAACTTATAACCATTGTCTTTGTTAAAAAAAAAAAAAAAGAATAATTTTTTTGTATTATTTTTTAATATAATTTTTATATATTTTTTAATAAATAAATACATTTAATATTACAGATTTCAATTGAATAAAAATAATTGATTATTTTAATAACACATAAAATTATATAAAAAATTAATACAAAAATTATCCCTAAATCATTTTCTACTTATTAAAGAGTACGTGCGAGTAATTACAAAGAATGCTTAGAACATGACCAACAAACATCCACGTCTGGGTCTGGAAAACCATGGGCACATCCAGACTCGGTCCTTTTCTGCTTTATGATTGATTTTATTTTATATTATATGCCTTTTAATTGCACTGGGCCGGCGATTGGTCACCACCTTAATTAAAGTCATATCTAGTTAATTAGACTTGGGATGCCTTTGCCTCTCATTTGTGAACCAGCAGAGGATTAGTTGGAGTGGAGGAGCCCGGTGAAAAATTGATGCGTATCGGATTCTTCTAGATTTCACATTGATAGATTGAATAAGTTGTGGGGTGTTATTGACACCACAAGAAGTGTTAAGGCCACCTATTTTTAAAAGTTTTTTTAACTAGTGTTTAGAAAAAATCAATTTCTTAATTAATAAATATTAATTATTTTATTAATTATTAATTATTTTTATCAATTAAATTAAATAACATTAATATTTTTAAAAATAAAACTTTATATATTTTTTTAATTATCTTAACATTTTGATTGATAATCACGATACTGTCTGAATAAATCAAATTTTATTTTATTATTATTATTATTATTATTCACCTTGAATGATGAATCCAGTGTGAATAGCTTTCCTCTTTGTCAATTCTTTTTTCAACTACGAAAAGGTCTTTAGTATAACAGGAATACCAAGTCAATGTTATCCCCATCCTATATCTTGAAAACTCAACTTGAATATTATGAGCAAAAGATAGAAGAAAATGCGTTAAGGGGGGAGATGAAGACTCTTCTTGCAACAAAAGTCTTCATCTCTCCCCTTAACGCATTTCTTTTGTTTTTGTTTTTTTTTTTTAACAATTTGTAATTATTTACAGGATTAATTGAGGGAGGGGAGAAAGGAGTTCGTGAGGCTCGAATATATAAATCCCACAAAAGTGAACAGCCCTAACTCAAGATTCAAAACTTTAACCCAAGATCCAATGTAATTTGGCTGAAACAGCAGTTCGCATTTCTTCTGCCTTTCACTCATAATAATATTCAAGTTGAGTTGTCAAAATATTAGATGATGTGAATACCTTGGTATTCCTGTCATTCTGAAGACTTTCTCCTCTACTACATCCCCAAAATTCGAGCTCAATAACGTAGAGCTCAAGTTCTTATTCCTGATTGACAGAAACGTCCCTTGAGAAAGGAAAACTTCAATCTTACACCGATTGACAATTGATGCTACAATAGTTTTTCCTTTTTGCATAAAGTATAAACCCGTGAAAAACGACCCTTTCCGAATATAGAGATATAATGTCAAGAAAAATGAAAACAAACTCTCACATCAGTAAACCTACTACTACTACTTTTAAATCGCTATACCTAGTAATAGTTCCTTTATTTTTATAAAATTCATTTTCTTTATAACCAACCAATGATTAGAGATCTAGAACATAACATAAGACCATATTTATATTTCTTTCCTCCTTTGGAGGAACCTGCCAGCAGCGTCACTGACATGAATCATATACAAAACAGCCAGGTGGATCCATATCAGTCCGGTGAAGAGAGCCAATTACAATTACTGCTGTGTAGTTTGTAAAAACTGTTGTGATTTGTGAGATAAGATTGTTGAATCATTTTCTCAATCCACAATCATATCTGCATACAGTTTATGCGGCATAGATCCATCACAACTGCTTGTTTTAGGCATTGACCAAAGTAGGCACACATTGAATATTGGATGATCATCATAACTGCCAGCATAGAAAGCACATGAATTTGGCACTGATAACTGTTGAGTATCAACTATCACCCATCTCACAGACTTGAGTTGGAAACAGATGTTCTCCCCCATACACACTGTTCCAAATCCATTAAAATTCTATATAGCTGTTGCATGCAGAAATGAGGTTCAAGTAAAAAACCTATACATTTAGCAGAAGCGAAATTCTAAAACTGCAGCCAAAAAGATGTCCTAATACAATATGAGATTTCAGTCTAACTGAGGACAAAATTATGAGAACCAAATGGAAGAGCAATGTACAAAGGCACGCACATGCCCAGAAACCATTCTGAGGCACAATACCCATTCCAAGGATACTTCTCAAAGAAATGCATTTCCCCCCAATTGATTCTTATTTGTAAATAACCTTTCTTTGGTGACATAAATTTTGCTTTGCAATAACATCTTGGAAATGGACTTTTATAAAAGAAGGTTTCAAAGAAGAATTGGATAAAAAATCAACTCTAATCTTGAGCCAATC